ATCCGAATTCGACTTGTGAACAATTTTTTGTTTTGGTTCAAATGAATCGCAGTTTTTCCCCTATTTAATATATATTTTTCTCATATTTTAATTTTAACGCTATTTTCATATAATATATCGCATTAAAATATAGTTCGTCTGCACAAAAGATAGAGAATTCTTATTGGAACTACAAAATGGCTGGCTAGCGTTTATTTAAGCGCAAGGCAGCTGTGCGTTAGTAGAGTTTCCACTGTTTCGAAATATGGCGTGCAGTTATGCTTACCCCAAAATGTGGCCACACGCATCCGCCAGCGCAAAGATAATCCGCTGTTGCACTTGGCGAAAAAAATAAAATCGAGCATTTATTCTCGCAAGAAAAAACAATTCACTTGAGCGACTAAAATAAACACTTCATTATTAGAAACACATGTTGGGGGGCGGGTGGCGGCGAGCATCGCGAAAGGGTTGCGGCCAAAAATAAATACGCATGCATATGCAAGTATTTGCCTCTCTCTCGCTCTCTCTCTCTCTCGATCTCCCTCTCACGTATGCTAGTTGCGCATCATTGCTGCACTTTCAGCGGAAATGGATGCAAAAAATATTGTAAATGCGCGCGCCGCATGGGCCATGGGCGGGTTGCGGCAGCATCAAATGCAAATGTACCGTTAACGCTAACACTCCGGCACGGCGTACGAATTGGAAAACGAAAATGAAAACGAGAGCTCCAAAAATAACTTTACTCAGCGACTAATGTAAGCAAAAGGGCGCGCGTATTCCATATAAATTGTAATTTATGCGTTATTCTTGCACACCTCCTCCCACGCTTTGGCCAACGACTATTGCAATTGCTTCTTTTCACACACTCTCACACGCACACACACCTTTTCACTTTTGTGGCAAACGCGCAGTGCCGCATAAAATTCTATATGAAATCACCGATAAAATCCAATTTAAAATCTTTCACTACGCTCCGCTCCGTGTGTCCCGCGCGCTTCGTGTGTTCAAATCGAACTGAAAGGCAAATGTGACGATCGCTTCTTCCAATTGGATGCTTTGCGCGGTGCAGAGATGAGATCGTGTGTCCGCATTGAGCACGAATCGGCACGAAGTGGAGTTATTGTTGCTGTTTACAGGCGCTGCTCATTCGTGCTGCGACGATCGTCACGAGACGCGCTCATTTCTAGCCGCCTAGCTGTCTTCTTCAGCAAGCGAGAGCAGGGAGAGAGAGCGAAAAGAGAGCGTGCACTCACTTTGACCCCCACACAGTTGTTGCTCTTACTGTTGTTGAACGATTCCGTTGCACGTGCTGCTGGCTAAACATATGATCTGCAGACCGAAAGAGCGGAACAGAGAGCGAGAGAGAGTGCGTTCATTTTGCGGCGTTAAAAAGCCGGTAAAATGAACGCCGTTTTGTTTATGTTTTCAGTGAACGCGCGCACGCGGCTGAAATGTTGTGTTAAAATTGTTGCTTAGAAAGAAAACAAACTGAGATGCAACAGTAACTAAAGTGATGCAATTTATTTGGTATTTAAATTGTTTGCAAAATAAACATATGTATAAATAATAATTTACGTATTACGCGAATTATCAACTGGCGGCAAAGTTCACATTGGACTTCCCATAATCTCAGTTCTGGCACCGTTATTCAAAGCAACCTTGAAGCATTCCAGTTGCGCTCATTAGCCGCATGATATAGCAAATACATGTATGCTGCGATTAGGAAAATAATTATAAATCAAAAGAGATGTCAGCGAAAGAGTGAGAAAAGACGCGGCTGCACTAAAATGCGCTAATGATAGAAAAATCGTTGGTCACACAGAGACCGACCGACTTGACCCACTGAAAATGTGCTGCCACAGAACCAGTTTTTCACTGAAACCTCGCGGTAGGTTCGTTGGCAGAGGGGGGAGCGGCACGGCATCTACATTGCATTATTGGAAATGTGTGACAATTATGAAAGGCGATCGGCGGCGCGATATTAATGCCTGGCGGGACAATAACAAAAGCCGCTACAGACTCGACCAGCTGGGCAGGGGCAAGGTGAAGGGGAGGGGTGGGGGGCAGACAGTGGCACAAAGCGAGCGCTCTTAGAGATAGGCATCTCGGAAAGCTTTGAATAATACAAAAGCGTCGACAAAACAAACAAACGCGAAAAATTCTTTTCAAGCTTAACGGAAGTCGTTGAGCGCTAAATGGTCAACGGGCCAACCGTTTGACGGATTGACGCATTGCGGGATTGATGAATGGTAGCTGGAACAGCTACCCACCGGATGTAAAGCTGGTTGTTAACACTTCAAAAAAAAAATAAGCCTTTGGTATGAAAAGATCTATTCCAAATGCCGCGTTAAAGCAGACGTTGGCAAGTTCATGGTAATTTAATCAAATCAGCTAACAACTGTATTAACTGAAGTCAAGCATATATTAGATTATATATTTGTATCGAGTGTGAAGCAGACATATATTAATATGCATATGTACATATATTAATATTCTCGATCAGCAACCAAAGGTCGAGTCGATTTAGTCAAGACCTTCTCTCTTGGACGATAGCCGGCAGTTAATACTTTTGATAAGCTCCTTAAATATGGTCAAAATCTTATTAACAATGCTTGACTATATTTTGCATCTCTATAGAGAGAATCGGTCGAAAAATGTGTCTTCTGAACAATTGCGAGTGTTTTGTCTGCAAAACATGCAGATGCTTAGTTAACATGCAGATTATTTTGTAGGCCCCAGCAGTACCCTAAATAATTAATACAGTTACAAAGGCATTTATTTTGTCGCTTTCCTAAAGCACTTTAACAAGAATGTTAAGTTTCTGAATTTATTGAATTTATTTCCCAAGGCACTTTAACATGCATGTTAAATGGGCATGCATATTTCGTTTCAGCCACAGCCAAATCGTCAAGTACGCCAAATACTGAATTCAGTTGCAAGAAAAGAAAGAAGTTTCATTTTCACTTTAAAGTGCATGTTAAATTGACATGCAGATTATATTGAATCCACCAAATATTCCCACTCAACCGCACTAAATTTTGTAGCTTTTACGATCGTCAGTTTTAACAGCATCAAGACACGACGTTTTTCTGGTGTTCAATCAGTTGCTAATCTCACATAATAAAGTCATAAATTGTGGACTGGCTTAGCGCGGTCTGCAACAATGGGCGAATCGGAAAATGCGAATGATTAATGGCCGAATCTGAGTCTGAGTCGGAGTCTGAGCGCCTCGTCAGTGCGAAGAAATAGTTACCAATCCGCATAAATTTTACAATTGTTCAATAGACTTATCTTTATTTTTTGTTGTTGTTCACTTCTCTGCGCTCTGCTTCTTGAAATGGTCGACAAACATTTGCACATAATCCGTCATAAAGTGGAAAATCAAGTAACTAAGTGATTAAAGCTGAAAATACAGAAAAATAATCGAAAAAATAAAAAACTAAAAACAAGCGAGTTTTGGATATATGCAACACGCCGAAGATTTAATACGCTTTTGAGTATTTGACTTAAAGGTTTAAAGATACATATTTGAGAATAGTAAAGCTGGTAAATGCTGTGTTTGATGAGGATCTCTTGGAAACCCGACTTTTTGACATATGTACAATCATTTTTTGATCCATTCTTCCTAAAGAGCCGTATAATATAGTAGTGTGATGGTTGAATAAGTACAGGCTGGCTTTAGTTAAGATGTCTTGCTGCAGAAAAGGTTTTCCATACAAGAATCTATAGTGGGGGTCTGATTCGGCCTGGTAATAGGTTCGAAGATGTCTCCTCCTATGCGTTGCACATTTCATGACAAAATTCAGTTACCCTCTAGAAGGGTATACAAAAGGAAGGCAAAGAAATCAAATCAAAGTTATTCAATAGGCTTTGGCTTTGGCTCCGGCTCTTGCTCTGGCTCTGGCGTCTTGTCGAGTGGTCGATTGGATTTGGTTTAGCTTGATTTGGGATTGGGGCGGGCTTGGAGCGCACTTGGAGCCACAAATGCATTTTGGTTGTTTGTCAACGTTCGTTGTGGACGTTTTCGAGATTTACATAAATAAGTGCGCACCAAAAATGGGGATAAGAAATCGTCATCAAACTTTTATATATGCATACAGCTCTCGTTTTTTTTTTTTTCAACTTCTTTCTTCTATTTGACCATCTGATTTTTGTATTTTTTCAATTTGGTGGAATTTACTTCGCTTTGATTACCTTTTCTGGGGCCGTTTAGACAAACCGCAACGAATTTCTCAGCCTTTATCGGGTTTTAATTAAAAGCTGCCGAAGTTTTGATTCGGTTTCAGCTTTGTTGCTTTGTTGTTTTACGCCTAATGAGAAAAACACAAAACTCGACTCGCAATCATATCTTCCAAATTTATGAACACATAAATATGTCTAATTATTTAGATAGGCGCGGCCGTGCTCCGAAATAAAGTTTTTAAATATTATTCAATGAATTTATTTGAAATTATTGCTATTTTAGAAACCGGTAATTGTTAATTCATTCCAGAGCCTATAAATTAAACTTGTTATACGAGCATAACTATTTTACACTTTGCCAAATTTTTCGATGCTCGGCCGCCAACTTTTTGCCTGCGATATAAATTTGTTAACGAATTTAAACAATAATTAATTGTTCTGAACTTTGCATAGTGTATCATAACTATCTCCGACCTCATTAAGTATACATATATTCTAGATCAGCATCAATATCCGAGTTGATATAACCAGGTCCGTCTGATTGAAGGAGGAGGAGATGTTTCCTTCCAGGCGTTACACATTTCAAGACAAAATTATAAAAATCTCCGCAAGGGTATAAAGAGAAACGCGTGTGCATTTCTCAGGCTAGCTTTACAATTTATCTGAACAGATATTTTGTTTGTCAGCATTTTATTTAATGTGCGACCCAACTCTTCACTTAGTTCGGTTTTAACTGTAAAATGTTTCTGGGAACATCTGTTATCAAATATCTCTAGAAATTTCTCTGAATATATAGTTCTATGATGTATCTCATTCACGTATTTTTATATTCTTTTCAGCATATGACCAATTGCCGTGTTAATTTATGGCTCTCCATGACACGATTTATGCCATGGTGCGCACACTTTTTGCATGCACTGTGCATATATGTACATATGGGAAGCGTAAGGAAGCACAAGTCTTTTGTTTTTGCTGCCTGTATTAAAATTTCCAAATGGGTAAGTTGATCTCATTTATGTTTTCAGATCTTCAATTAATATAATTATGTTTAATTTTTTGTGGCCCAAAAAAACTGAAATTTTAATTAAAATACGTCACGTTTCTGATGGCATTCATCAAAAGTTATTGACGCTGAGGCTGAGCTGCAGACGCCACAAAAGTGGGCATGCCCACTTGATAAATAAGAAGAAGAAAAAGCGACAGAGAAAAGCTCATAAAAAAAAAAGAAAAGAAGAAAACGAAACGAAATGCCGAAGCAGCACGTGATAAACGCACTTAACAGGTAACACCCATTTAAGCGAATGATGAATTAACGCACAGACACACACGCACGCACACACAGACATATACACACACACACACACACACACACACACACACACACACACACACACACAGACACCTAAAGAACCCAAGCGAACCGCAGCTCTACATGGGAGACTTCTCTCGAAAAAGCTGCCACTGCTCCACAGTCTCGGCTCAGGTGCGTCCGTCTCGACCCCCGCGTTCCTGCCCCTGCCGCCGCCCTCTCACCTGTCTATTGACGTGAATGAGTGCCGTTTAGAATTGACGCTTTTTGCGCTGCGGTCGCATTCGGGGGCCTTTCCCCTCGCCGGGCACTTGGTAATAAACTTCTGGCAGCAGCCAAAACCAACTGCCTGTCTGTCTGCTCCCTCTCCCACCCCCCTTCTTCCGCTCTTTCTCTAAACTTGAGCAGAAATTAGCTAGAAAGACGTGCGTTTGGGTTGGTTTTGGACAGTTGCCTGCAGTGCGGCACCTCCAAAGACTACGACTCGACCTGGACTTCTGGCGGGGATGCGTTACGTTGGACGCACGTGCGTCTGTCAGCTCTTCAGTTGCTCAGTTGGTCCGTTTGTCAGTCATTAAAAAACACAGTTTAGCTTCAAAAAAAAAAAAACGGAAAGAAAAAATAAAAATATAAATAACAAACAAAAGTTTTGAACAAATTTGCCTGCACTCCTGACCACAAGCGCGATAAAAGTGTCAGTTTGCAGAAAGTTTCACTTGCAACTAAACCAAAAAAAAAAAAGAAAACCTCATTATGAGCATGAGAATATAACTCGGGGCAGCAAGCAGGGAGTTGTTAACTGGGCTGGTTGCATATCATTTTAAAGAGTGTTTAGAATTTTGAGTTAACTTTCGTTTTGCTTTATTAGCGTGTGCTCCAGGCGGGGGAGTCGTAAGGGGGGCACTAAAGCTCTATATATGTTTTATATATTTCGTGTGAGATGATATTTAGAAAGAGTTTTTCAAATATTTTCAAAAATAGAGCAAACATATTCAATTGATCTATCGAAATAAATTAAATATATATATTAAAAAAAAAAATTGCACACATTTCGCATAGATCTATTCAAATAAAATATAACAGATTCCTCTTGATAACAAAAACTAAAGTTTATGCAATTGTCCAGTGCCTATTTTAAAGGATTTTCATTGTTTTCGGAAAATGTGTGATAACATTTCCCCCATTCTATTTATCCTCTTTCTTTTTCAAATAACAAGGTTATGTACGAAATGTTGTTTTGCAAATATTTTCCATAAATAAAGCAAACATTTTGAAAAAAAAAAAAAAAACATTAATCCATTCAAACATAACATTTTCCACTTCATGAGCTTATTGCAATTTATTTAATTTTCCTTGAATAAAATGTGTATGGAATTGTGCAATGGTAATTTAAATGGAAATTTCTCAATTATAGCAAATGTCAGATTTCTGGTTTTTATCTGCAATTTCTCTCCTTTCTTTCGTTTGTGTGATAAATATAGCAGCATATCAATTTTCAAACAATTCTTGATTTACAACTAAATTGAATTGAATTAAGTGAAACTAAAAATGCATTCTTTTTTTACATAAATTCTATTTTCAAATACCTGTCGTATTTCAGTGTATCTCTGTACGTATACAGGTATACAGTGAATACCCTCTGGCAGGGAACATAGGCTCATTTCTGTTCGCTCGAGTGGCGTGTCCGGCTAAAGGAGGTGCCATGAGTAGGGTCTGATTCGCGAGCAAATGCTTGCCCAGGCGGTCTGTTCGCCCAATATGAGTGTTCGTTAGGAGAGTATTCACTGTAGGCTTTGCTAAGTGAAACTCGCTTTTGCTATCTTTTAAATATCGCCCAGCGACAATTAACTTTCGACTGAGCCCCAGCAAAGTCATTAACGAGTTTTGTGTTTTTTTTTGCCTGTTGCGAATCCACTTAAAATTTTTCCAAAGGCAGCTACAAACAAATGGAATAGCAACTGCGGTCATTTCGAAAGGTCAACGGGCATGCCACAAAGCTGCAGCAGCAGCAGGCCAGGCTCATTATTGATTATTTCAGTTAAGAAGAATTAACAAAATGCAAAAAAAAAAAGAGAAAGAGCAACAAAAATATTTAGTTGAGTTATTTCAACAGTTTGTTGTTTAACAAATTGCGTGTTGATCAAAAGCATCATTAATAAATTATGTTTAATTATGTTTAAGCTCGTATTTTGTTTATAGTTTTTATTCAATTGCCATTTACAAATGCATTGAAAAAAACAGCGACAACCACAACAACAACTTTTTGCTGTCTGTCAACGCTGCGATTTCCTCTACACATCAAATTAAAATTGATTTATTTAAATGCGTGCATGCAAAAGATATATTTGTAAAAGCTGCCTGTTAATTAAAATTAATATTCCATTGATTAAATGTATTTAATTGCATGTTAGCAACTTTTCTGGTAGCTCGGACAATGCCTGAATATTCGATGCTCTTTCGGCTATTTTTCCTACCTCAGATGTTTGTTTATAATTAATAATTGAATGATTGATAGTTGCGCACAACGTGTGGTCCACTCATTGTCTCCACGCTTCTACTTCTTTTACCTCTACCTCTACTTCTTCGTCTTGGCCAGTTTTGCGGCAGCAGCTCTGCGGGATGCTAACAAGTCCAAGTCCGCAGCTCAGCTCTGCGCGGCGTGAGAAATTTTGCGTAAACGCTTTTTGAATGATCTACGCTGATTAGTTGGCTCGTTTCCAGCTGCCGTGGGTGTCAATACAATAATAATTCTATTTTTGAAGTAGAAATTCAAAGGTGTGAAGCGATATGTATCTTTTTTCGGTTTACATGCATAAAATTAGGTTATTGTTCTTCATCTATTGAGTTTGTTAAAAAAAATAGTAAATCAGTCGCAGATTTTCGTAAATTAAACAGCTTTCATATTTATATGAGGCTTAATATATTCAGTTTAAAAATGAATTCATTTATTTTTAGCTTCGTGAGCTTAAGCGGTTTGTCTCACTGCAAGAGCTGCTCTTAAATCTATTTGAATTTTAACGTTCACGAAAACAGTGCAGTATAATATTTCATTTTACAAACAAACTGCTTGGCTGTCAAACCAAGCAGTTCGTTTAATCGTCAAACGCCTACTTGCTGTTATACTTGGGGCATGTCTTCACTAAATCGCACTGCTTTATTATAGGCTGTGTTTTTAGCAAAGTTTGCTCAACTAGGCTTAGCATGTACAACAGCCCTTGGGAGCATCAGTGCTTATATTGCTGTTATACTTGGCGCATGCTTTCACTAAAACACACTGCTTTATTATAGGCTACATCTACATTAGCATTAGCATGTACAACAACCCTTGGGAGCATAAATATTTATTAAGATTAAATTAAAATGGAAATAATGGATTATAAATGTATATATAAATAAATAGAAAGAAATGTGTAGGTATATGTTATTATATGTAATTATGCATAAATATAATATATGATTATATTATTATATCTATATAAATATTGAAGCTCACGAGGGTTGTTGTACCAACTAAGAACTGTTCATATATATTAATATTAGTCCTCAATTAAAAGTATTTTATAAGGTGCGCTACAAAAATATTAGTTTAATTTATAGAAACAAACATTTAACGCCAATTATTTTTGTTCTACAAAAGAAAAGTAAATTACTTTTTTTTATTCACTTATTTGAATACATTTCAAATAACATAAATTTCATGTAAGTGCACTGGGCGTAAAATCTGAATACCTGGCCAGCAGGCGCAAGGTGCAAGGTAAATCGAGAAACAATAACAAAATCAACATTAGCCTGAGGCATTTGAAAGTAACCAATTAAATTTGATGCTAATGCTCGAATTTATACGCATTTAAATTTAATAATCCGAGCCGGCTAATGCTCTATATCAGACCCCGCCCCGCTCCTCTGTCGAAGCGGCCAAAAGGCAATTAGAAATAATAACAACGGCCAAATGTTGTTTCCAATTTCAGCTAACTAATGTTCATCGCATTGAGCTGCAAATATAACTGGCAATTGAGAGACCAGAGAGGGAGAGAGAGGGAGTGTGAGGGAGAGAGAGGGAGACGGTTGTTGCATTTCACACAGTTTTCCATTTGTTCAAAATAATGCATAAATATTTAAGGCCAAATACTGCATGCAAAATAAAAAAAAAAAGAGTACAAAAAGAAGGGTAAATTTTATAATTAAATAAAGTGCATGATATTCAACAATGCAATTGCAGTGGGGCACAAAATTGCAAGTCATGGCCCCAGTCAAATCAGCCGTAAATCTATATAATTTGCATGCATCTGCGCAACGGGGCGCATTTCCTTAATTAAGTCAATGATATTTCAAAATATGTTTAGCAATTTGTTTTACACAAAAACCTAATAATTAATTGAGCGTGCTAAGAAGTTTAATTTATATTAAATTTATATATTACTTTATGTTTAAAACAAAAAGTAACTAAAGGAAAGTTTCGATAATTCACCACAATATTTTCTATGATATGCACATGATTTAATTGAAATCAGAAACTTTTTCAAATGGAGAAAGTTTTTCCTACATAATTCTTAACCCACTAATAATAAAAACTAGCACAATCGCACAGAGGTCACACGACAAGTTATCGATAACTTTTCTGAGGTACATTGCTATGAATCTATCGATAACTTTTGAAACTGTGCTTAGCGAACTCGAATGGTGACTGTACCAACTGAGCTGGTGAAAGCTATCGATAATTGATCTGGCTTGAATATAACTAATCGATAGGCTTAACATTGCAGATATTAGCTTATTTAGCGATTACTTTTTTCCTGTGCTCACAGTCTGATATTTATCCTTTTTATTCAAAATCAAGTGCAATAAGATGAAGAACGAGAAAAGTGTGCACTCACTCATATGAATAACTATCGATAATTCTTAAACTGTCGATTGCAAGCTGGTGAAAACTATCGAAAATTTATCGGATTATAATGCAGACACGCGTTAAAATTGTCTTTGAAGAATGCTGCTAATTAATCGGTTACTTTGTAAAGTGCATACACGGAGAGAGCTTACAACAAAAACAATAATATAAGTGTGTACACATTGTTGACATGCGTTACTTTATGGACTGCCAGCCACTTGGCATGCGTCTTGGCTTGATTGTGGTTCCTCTTCCTATTGTCAATTGTTGTTGCTGCCTTTGTGGGCTCAGCTGGCGTTGGTAGCTCTTGTTGCAGGCGTACATCAATTAGCAGCTTTTCCAAGCAGAACCCTAGAATTATCCGACTTTAGTGTAATTTCCTGCTCGAGTCTTACAGTTGCTATCGCTACGAGTTCCAAGCAGCTATTGTTAAACACAAGCATACCCTGTGCTAAAACAGGTGCACCAAAAGGGGTGTGCACACTTGAAGGAGATGCATGCCAAAGTCTGCTTGATATCAGAAAATTGCCCTTAAATTAGAACTGTCAGCTAGAAGCAGCTAGTTCAAACTCGGGTAATGTTTGTCCTGCTTTGAGAGAAAGTGTTCGATGAAGAGTGTTGTCTGCCTGTTCGAGTATATCATGATCTTTTACAGGGTATATATGCTCGAGCAATCTTGAAGCATAGGTTTTGTTGTCATGATTTGTAGTTTATATAACATATGCATATTGAGTATATGTGCCAATATGCACAAGATGTGTGTGTGTGTGTGTGTGTGTGTGTGTGTGTGCTTAGCTGCCCCAAGCTGATGCTGGAGTCTGTGTTTAATATAATTAAGGGAAGCTACACAGAGTCGAGTATATTGAAATTTCAATTTATGCTAAAACAATAGAATCGTTCAATGCTTCATCAATTATTTGGATTATTTTAAGCAGCCAGCTTAACGTCTAAACGTTGAATTAAGCTGTCGACTAGTGTGAGAATATTTTTAAATATGAATGGAAATCTATATTGTAGCCGACTGCGCAATACTCTGTTTATCGCATGTTAGACACCTGCTCTAAGCACTTATGTGAAAAAGAAGAAGAACCTAGTTTCGGCCGATTCTTCTGTTGTTGATGCTCATCTAGAATATATGCTATATACTTTATGGTGCTCTATACTCTACCTGCTGCGAGTATATGCAATAGCTTATGAGCATTGCACACAACCCATATACTCTTCTTCGGGCATTAATATTTGTCAATTTCTTGTATAAGCTTTTAATAGAAGCCTTTTCATTCCTTTTCACATATGCTTAAGCCAGGCCAACAAATTGTAAAATGTTGTTTTCAGTAAAACTTACACACACACACATCCACACACACACACACAAGCACTTGCATTTTATCTCGTTAACTAATTGTGGCTATCAATTTGATCAACAGATTTTCGTCCACTCAATTCACGTACTTCATATCGATAGCATAAAGCTGTCTCATTTATTATGCGCCAAAAAATGTTATCAAACCAAATCGGATTTGCGTGCCCCGTGGGTCGGTAGACCGACAGAGGGGGGGGGGGGGGGGGGCAGTGTCAGGTCTAAGCCAATGGCGCCAAGGAGCAAAGAGAAGGACACGGCCTGCAATATTGCAAGACGGCCGCAAAACCTTTAAGGTCAGGTTAGCCTTTTTTTTTATGGCTATAAGCTGCTGGCCCTCCCCTCCCCTCAACCACTTCGCTTTTGGTGACATTTCTTTGTGTGTGTGTGTGTTCTTCGGGTATAAAACGCATTGCATGTTGTCCTGTCGCCTGTCGCATGCTCGGTTGGGTTTTTCAAGCTTCGCAGACGCTGAAAGTTTTCAATTCTGTTTTGCAATGCTCAGCTTCGGCAGTTTGATGGGGTAGATTGTTTGTAAAGTTTTGAAGAGAGAGTTTCTGCACGAATTGTGCGCTTTGAGTAAATTTTTAAAAAATAAATGCTTACCTCGGTTTTGATAAATAACTCGAATGATCCACAATGCCGCCAAGCTATTTGAGTCGAAGCGCTTTGAACCAGAATATCTTAATTTAGTGGTTCAGTTGCTCCAAAAACATTTGTTAACAATTGCATTTACTTCTCTTTGATAAGGCGCAACGACAGCTTTTGCGAGCATAATGGAAATCCCAGGCATTTGTTAGAATAATTGTTAATTATTTGTTTAAAATAAGTGAAGCCTGAGCTACGTTTGTTCTTTATTATTAAGCTTGGTCCCTTTGAGTGCATTGAATCGTATCAGATCGAAAAAGAAGTTATCTTTAGACAGTTTCATCGGAGTCCATTAAAAAAAGTTACTCATGTCCTCTTTTATACCCTAGCAGAAAGCTTAATAAGTTTGTTATGAACTGTGTAACGCACAGAAGGGGACAGCTGCTAGTCTGTCTACACGAAAGAAACTGGAGTGGAAACGAAACGAACTTACAGGGTATTTAAAGCTCAATCAATTTCTGACACTATCACACTAGGCTAGGCTTACAGGTATTTGTAAGTCGTTCAGTCTTCGGCATCAAATGTGCTTTATGTTCAACAAAAATTCGAAACCTTTTGACACCTTTAAATTTGCCGCCTTATTAAAGATGTTGCCGGAAATGTTAGCCAGATTCTCTTGCTTCAAGGATCGTTGGGCACGGACATGGGTCAAGGGGTCGAGGGTTCGAGGGGAAAGTTTATGAATAATAATAAAGCATGTTGAGCATTGAAAGTGAACGCTTTGCATATTCAGTTTTTTATTGTTTTCTTTCTCTTTTTTTTTTCTTTGTTAGGGGGCTTATTGAATTTTAAAAAAGTATGCTTAAATACTAGCTACTAACAAATTGTCCATTAACTAATGTAAATTTAATTAACATTTTGTATACGCATTATTTTTGTGTGTGTTTTTTTTATGATCGTAATTTAATTTAATGCATGTTACAATATTTTTACTATAATATTTTCTTCGGTCTGTTTTTTGTTTGTTTTTTTTTTTTTTTTGTTAATATTTAATTTAATTTAATTTGATTTTGTTTTATTTTTTTTTTTCGTTTTGGTTTTTTTTCCACGTATATTTGCTAGTAAATGCAGAAATATGAAATTGTTTTTTGTTTGTCAATCAACTGGTTCGCGTTAATTAATATTAAATTTAAATTTAAATTTAAATTTCAATTTCAATTTAATTGTAGTCAATTAGTCTAGTAGTTGTTTGTGTTATGCTCTCTTTTCCAATATTCGCTTATGTTTGGTTTAACTGCCGTTTTATTTGGCCCATATTTAATTATTAAAATTACACAATATTTAATATTTACAAAATTATGTTACAGTACTTTTCAGTTGGTAGCTTTTGCTATTTCCTTCATTTTGCTCTATTATTATTATTTTCTCTGTTTTTAGTTTGTTTTAAATTTCACCAAAAGTTTCGCTGCCAACATTTAACTTTTCTGGCCACGTGAGCAGCCAACTGCTTGGGGGGTGGGGCTGTGTGTCGAGTGGGGTTATGGGGGGAGGGGGGAGTACAGCAGCCAGTTTCAGGTGCGAAATCGGTTCGCAATTGGACACGTGCCGCTGTCCGGACTCGCAACTCTGCCGCAGCCAGAGTCCAAGAGTCCCGACAAATAAAAGAAAAAAATTATGGGAGCAGGAGGCGGGAAGCGGGGAGTGGGGCTTGGGAGGCGGGAGCTGCTGCTTACGTGCTAAATTTAATGCCGTCTATTATACAGGGTGTTTAACTAGCTGTGTCAAGTTTCATAAACTCTTTTACATAGTATCATAGTTTGCTTAATTTAAGTTCCGATGCATTTTAGATTTAAGATTTTCTTTTTGATTTTTAGAATTGGTTCACTTGAAAATGTTTGAGAAAACGCACAGAATTCTGTGAGACACGAAAAACTGATTTGCAAATGTATTCTCAAAAAATCAAAACTGAAAGAAAGCAACAGAAAAGTCGCACAGAAAAGTCGAGACAGAGCGAAATTCGTGAAAGAAGAAAAACATAAAAAAATGGCTAATTTTCAATTATTTTAATATTTATTGAATTTTAGATTCAAGACAAGTTTTTCAAGTAAAACAAGTAAGTTTTCTATTGAAATTCTGGAAATGGGAAATATGCAAAAGAAAAAATCTAAGAACTTTATTATAAGTACTAGGGAATAGATTTAAAATGTGAAGAGAAGAAAAAGATTTCAAAGTTTTTTTTTTTTTTTTTTTAATATTTTATAAATTATAACGAGCAATTTTTGCAAAGGGAAAAAATGCTTGCTCTAAAGACATTCGAAAAATTAACACAACAACTAAATAAAAGTGTATTAAAATGTTGAAATATTTTAAGTATTCAGAAAGCTTTAAGGAAATGCCAAGTTTTTTTTTCTTCTGTTAGATATTGTATTTGGTATTTGTCAATATCTGTAGACGAGTAACAGTACACGTAAAGGCTCTGCTTTAGTTTAATCCGTATTTGTTGCTTACAAACTAACCCTAAGCTAACACACACACACACACACACAGACAGACTCACATTCAACACACACACAAAGAGAGAGAGACATACACACATATATTGAATACTTAAGTTTTGTAGTCGAGCTGAAATTGGTGCACAATCCACATCCACTTCCACATCCGTTTCCATATCCTGGCATTACGCTTACAGCTGAAACATCATTTTTAACTACAACTTAACTATTTATTTTTATAATACAACTTTGTCGGCTTCCGTCGTGGTGGGCGTGTCGCCCGCCCCGCCGCCTGGACCAGCACCGCTGCCGGTTGCAACCACGGCCAGCGCATTGTCCACGCCCACTTGAGAAGGCGGCTGTGGCTGCTGCTGCTGCTGCTGGGGCTGCTTGGTTTTCGCCTTATCATGCACGTACATCGCGGCCAGGGCATTGAAACGTGGACCCCAATTTTGTAAATAGTTAAAGTCTTGATTCTCATCGTCGGTGCCTGCAATTGTAGTGGATGAGCGGATGGTTTTTAGTGTTCCGCTGTCGCCTCACCTGATGCCAACGAGCTGAGCGATTCGGCAATGCTGCCGCTGCCCTCGAAGGTGAAATTGCGCAGGTCATCAAAGGGCGGCGCATTGGGATCTTTGTCAATGCGCTGCTTGCGCTCCTCCATCAGATAGGCCACATTCAGCTCCTGGCCGGGCGGCAGCAGTGTCATCACAGGATCTGAGGAGACAAGCACACACACACAAAAAAAAACACAGCAGGGTGGTCACTTCAGATTCTGGACTCAGGCACACACACACAGGCTGTGTTTACTCACATATAATGGGCATCTTGCAGGCGGCTATGTCCGGTGGCATTGTGCCGCTCTGTGCGCTGATTGGTATTTGCAGTGGGGTTATGTCGAATGCCGTCATATCGTCCTCGCCGCCGCCCTCGTCCTCATAGCTAATCACCGTTTCGCGCACATCCTTTTCCGCTCCAGAGCGTTTCTTCTTCTTGGTGGTCTTACGCTTGCGATTGTACAGCACGAATATCAATGCGAGAACTGCAATCAAAAGGAAGCGTATCAGAAATGTGCTCGAATTTACTTTTCAATATATCAAGTGCTTTGAACGACTCGCTGGCTATCCAAAATGCAGCTCATTGACAGAGATCAAGCGACAGTTTAAGGAAATACTCAAGAATGAGAATAGCTGCACAATTGTGGATAAAAAGCGCGGAGCTGCGGGCGATGTGCTGTGCAGCAGTGGCAGCTTGTATGATATATTGAGTCCTAAACTCGAAGAGGATATATCCAATCGGTTAATCAGCAAAGATTATGTTATACGTCTGGATGGTGATACGAAATCAACCGAAAAGGGTCTCTATCTGGGGCCACAGTTTATGCGAGCGATTGTTACGGGCGACAAGCTAAGACTCTGTGGCGCCTTCACGGAGAGCACAACCTTTGTTTAGAGGAAAGAGTTGTAATTAAAAACCACTCTTCAACCGTTCCAATTTGGTAGCGTACTTACTTTGTATATTAAATAATCCTCTTGATTGTATACCATTACAAAGTTACAAAGTCACAAGGCTTATTTTGTAAATATGGATTGTACGGAGTAGAACTTTCGATGGCGTCGGTTTTGAACTTTCAAAATTTGTACGTTAATAATCCGATTTCGGAGGGATGTACCTCTTTCTACTCGTACTGATCCCGACTATCGATTGCCATCCACATTCCATGCCGTCCAATCCACATTCTAAGAGATGACCCAAAATAATTTTTTTTTTAATTTATTTATATCTTTTCAGACTAAAGAATTCAAAATTCCAACTGATCCTGGAAACTACGAGGAGTCCTTAAGGGCGCAAGTATCCAGGATTGGACTTCAATAGCCCGGGATAAAGTCATTGTAGGTTTAGGCAAAACATATATCCACAATTCAAATATAATTTGTAACGATTATAAGTTTAATATGTATTTGTTTATTTTAAGAGATATATATAATATATAAATAAAATAAATAAAAACTATGTATAATGCTTTTAGAAAAATAAATTATATAAAATAAAAAGCAATCTGCTGTGTTTTAATTTGATATGACCCTTGCCAATTTGTCGATTTGGGTCAAAATTTTGGATTTCCCTTTTTTGATGCCAATCGTTAGAACGGACCCTTACGAGTCAAAAATGGTATAAAATTAAAATTATTTGACGGAAATATTCCAAAAAAATCATCAAAAAGGTTGAATTTACGAACGAATCGGTTTTTTGTCAACAACATTTTTCAACCCATCGATGATTAATTTAGGACATAACTCCGCGCGGAGGTATGACGTTCCAAAACGACATACCTCCGCGCGGAGATATGACGTTCCAAAACGACATACCTCCGCGCGGAGATATGACGTTCCAAAACGATATACCTCCGCGCGGAGATATGACGTTCCAAAACGACATACCTCCGCGCGGAGATATGACGTTCCAAAACGATATACCTCCGCGCGGAGATATGACGTTCCAAAACGATATACCTCCGCGCGGAGATATGACGTTCCAAAACGATATACCTCCGCGCGGAGATATGACGTTCCAAAACGACATACCTCCGCGCGGAGATATGACGTTCCAAAACGACATAGCTCCACGCGGAGATATGACGTTCCAAAACGACATAGCTCCACGCGGACATAACTCCGCGCGGAGATATGACGTTCCAAAACGACATAACTCCGCGCGGAGGTATGACGTTCCAAAACGACATAACTCCGCGCGGAGGTATGACGTTCCAAAACGACATACCTCCGCGCGGAGATATGACGTTCCAAAACGATATACCTCCGCGCGGAGATATGACGTTCCAAAACGACATACCTCCGCGCGGAGATATGACGTTCCAAAACGATATACCTCCGCGCGGAGATATGACGTTCCAAAACGATATACCTCCGCGCGGAGATATGACGTTCCAAAACGACATAGCTCCGCGCGGAGATATGACGTTCCAAAACGACATAACTCCGCGCGGAGATATGACGTTCCAAAACGACATACCTCCGCGCGGAGATATGACGTTCCAAAACGACATAACTCCGCGCGGAGATATGACGTTCCAAAACGACATAACTCCGCGTGGAGATATGACGTTCTAAAACTCCGCACGGAGTTCAATCAAATTCGATGATAATCTTGGGTAAATAAATAATGTCTGACTTTAAAAGGCCGTTGGGTTGCCGGATTTGGCTACAAACTCAGCTGAAATACCAGGCGAACAGAAATGCCCAGCAAGCGAACGACATTTTTGGGAATAAAAAATTCATTGCATAAGCGCAAGGGCCAGAAATGTTAAATGTAACAGTTGGCTGTTAAGCAGCAGCCGTGGCCTCTGTAAAGGGGGTACTGTAAAGACGGCTGTTAAGGGGCATGTAAAGAGGCTGCTGAAAGAAAAACTTGCATGTTTTTTGACTATTTCAATGCGAATTTCGCAGAGATCTAGTGTTTTAGGTTCACTAGGACTATATCTATGGTATGGTAAACCAAGGATATTTGGGTCGACTAGGTACCGTTGAGCAGGCGTGGCTGCTGCTGGGGGCGGCTGAAAAAATGCATGCATGATATAATTCTGCACTATTTATGTGCGAATTTCGTAGCGATACGGACTTTTTAGGTCACCAGGACTATATCCATGGTATGGTAGAACCAAGGATATATGGGTCAACTAGGAACCATGAGAACGGAGGGAGGGGCTGGTGCTGCGGGCGGCTGAAATCAAGAGCGTTCATATGTCTCGAACATATTCCTGTACATTATGCTACTTAGTATTCTGTTATTTAGGTTCACAAGGACAATAACTATGATATCTTAGTAGTAATTTATTTATATCATGTGAGTACTTAAAGCTTTCCTTGAAATTTCACTAACTCTCTTTAATTTTCGATTGTGATTTCGGTTCGATATTCAATGTTAGACTCGAACGAATGGCATTCAAAAAAAAGAAGATATTTATGTCCTTTGGCCAGACATAAAAATCGTCCTTATGGTTTGCGAGATATTTTACTATAAAGGACATTTTTCAATTAACCATGACCCGGGTAAATCTTTAAGGATAACCTTGTTGAACTTGTGTGGAGCAGGACTATCGATTGGCATTTAAGGTATTCCAAGATTCGACAAAAAATTGCACCAAAAATTTGATCATTATAGAACGCGGCGACCTATTTAAATAATTGCAAAAAGTGCACCCAAGAAGCAGTGCATACTTTTGTGCGACGCGCAAAATTACTTCTAGAATATCACAAGGCATACTTTTAGGCATGTGACATTTCTGCAACACGAGTTTTAAAAAAAATATTAAACTCTGAATAACTTTTGATGTCCTTTGCACAACATGTAGTCCTTGTCTTGCCAACTTAGAACATATCATAAAAAGGACGAGAATGCTTCAAGGAACTGAGGGAAAGTGACTTTTATCGGTAGAGATAAAAGGCTGTAGCTCGGCCGTATCCTTGCCGATCATGATGTCCTTTGGCCAATCGTTAGTCCTCACCCTCCCAATTCAGAATATATAATAAAAAGGACGATAGTCCTTTAGACAGCATAGATATCAGTACAAATCTATCGTATCCTTGCAGATCCTGGCAAGTCCTGTGTCAAACGAACTGTATGAACAAGGACTTCAAACTGTCCAAAGGACATCAGAATCGTCCTTACCGTTTCAGAGATATGGCCAATTTTCTAAAAAGGACATTTTTCAATTCGCCATAACTCGGCCAAATCCTTAAGGATATCGGAAGGATATAACTTGTTGAGCTCGTAAAGAGGAGGACTATCGATTCCCATTCAAGGATTTCCATGATTCGACAAAAAATTTCACCAAAATATTTCATAGGGGGTAAGTCGCAAAAATGGCAAAAGTCGAAAAAATCGGGTCTAACTTGGCCATTTGAAGGACTATCGGGATGTCCTTTGGACAGTAGATAGTGCTCGTCGTCCCATTTAAGAAAATATAACAAAAAGGACGAAAGTCCTTCAAATGGCGAAGTTTAAAGGACAATTTTTGCAAGACAAAATAGGCTATAGCTCGGCTGTATCCTGGCGTATCCTGACAAGTCCTGCGGCAAATAAATTGTATTGACCAGGACTACCAACTGGCCAAAGTTCGTTAAGATCGCCCTGCTAGTTTTGGAGATATTCAAGGATTTGTGTTTTCGGGCCATTTTCGTACGATCCGGGACGAAAATTTCACAAGTAAAAATACAAGTCCTGGGGTTCTTAGATGACCCCATATTTTTTTGATGCAGATCCATGCAGGGGGTTGATGCGATCCTAACGCACCATGTCCTTTGAAAATCTGAAAGGATATGACCGAGTTATGTCCTTTTTTCCTTGAAAAAATGCGATTATACATTTTTTGCCTTTTATTAATTTCAATGTGTTTTTATCGTTTCAGCCTGACAAATTAAGGACGAAAATGAGCTCCAAGGACATCCACGACTGACAAAGCAGATATTTTGAGGATCGGAATTTAATTAAGCCAGATATAGTTGTATTTAGTTCCAATAAGCTAAAATTATTATGTATGGTATTTTTTTATAATTTTGAGAGAAATAATTAAGAAAATTAGCATAAAAAGCAAAAAATGTATAAATTTGAACATAAATAAATCAATTATTTAAAATAAAAGACGAGAATCCAGCTTTTTTTTTATTAAAAAATTTAAAAATCAACGGTCTTTAGAAAATGTTCATTGCATACCTGTGAGGGGCATCTGCTGGCAACCGATGGCTGTCGAGGTTTTTCTTAAAATCTGCCAAAATACCAGGCGAACAGAAATGCACAGAAGGTCGCCGAGTGATTTGAATAAAAATTTATATAGAATAACCAAGGATATATAGGTCAACTAGGTACTCATTAAAAATCGATGGTTTAAAAAGAGTGACCAAATCCGATTAGTTTGTAAATTCAACCTTTTTTTTGGTATATATCGGCTAAATCATATCAGAGTTTCAAATGTAAAAACAATTTTGAAAAATATACATTGAAGATCTAAATTTTGACAAAATC